ATTAATCAACATCTCATAATTACAAAAAAAAATGAACAAAATAAAAAATTATGATTAGTTGAATGAAGTTTGTACGGTTTGTACAAATTAGGTGGTTTTTATTTGAACGCTCCCATATATATATATATATATATATCAATCAAATATTGTAGCTAAAAGTATGTTTATTTTGCAGAATTCACGGGTTAGTTTTGAGGCGAATATACCAATTACTGCTGGGGAAGGTATATTCATATATATAGTCACACTTTGTTTGCATATTTGCATATAACTTACATATTTGCAATAACTTGCATATGTTTACATAGGGCAAGTTGATATAGTTGATGCACAAATTCACGATGAAGTTCGATCAGTTCCATAGTTTACGGTTGATGGTTAAGTTTAATAAGGATGATTCAAGCAGTCGAAGATTGAAGATTTTCAACCAATTTTTTTTTCTAACAATGTCTTGTTATCGAATTTATTCTAATCTTAATGATTCGAACGTTGTGAACAAACTTTTATTTTAGTTTGATTAGCCAAATTTGATTTAAACTTTAAGATTTATTTTTTATTGCATCAATTAAATTTTTTTATTGAATTAATTTTTTTATTGCATTGGTAAAAAAAACAAATTTTATTTTGATAATTTGGATTTTTTTTTGAAAAAATCTTTAATTTGATATTTGAATTTTTTTATTTGAAAAACGAGATTTAAGATAAAAATAGATTTTATTGCATTAATTCTTTTATAATTAATTTTTGAAAAAACCGAATTTTAGTTAATTTTCTATAATTATTTTGCAATTTTAAAATATGACTTGGAATATTAGTTTTAAAAAAAATTAATATGATATGTCAACATTTTAGATTTATATTTATAATCATAATAATGATGTGGAATGTCGTACTTGGAAAAAGATCTGGATGATGTCAACATTAACAGGTCAACATGTTAACCAAACCTTTAAATAAACAAAAAGTTTGATAGAAACCCTTAAATAATGATTTTGAAAAGTTGGTTCCCTAAAATAGGAATCAGGTGAAAGCTGCTTCCATTTTTATGCAATGTTCCCGATTGAAAAAGCATTAAACTTTCTCATTTTGATTGATTAAGTACTTGAACATGTTTTTAATAAATATATAATTGCATTTTTAAAAATTGGTGTTGATCCTCTCTCTCAGTGATTTGATGATAATCTTTTTTCACTTATACGTTGTATTTATGTTTCTGTCTTTTCAGTTATAGCGATCTTCAACTGGGCCTGTTCAGTGATCGATGAAGAACTTGTATTGTAAATCTATCAGAGACAGTGATGCTTCAAGAAGATAACACTCACACCAAAGAACCTTCAGTAAATGTCGAAGACTGAAACTGAAGACTGGAGACTGGCGAGTACGTGATCTGAAGCATTACTCAGTGATCACAAGTCTGTCTACATATGTGTGAAGACTGCTTAAGCTTCAATGAATAATGAAGAGACTTTCAGGTCATTCCAGCATTCAGCGATCAAATGAAGCTTGCTTAGCACAATTGTTGTTGTCTTGTTCTTATGCACACAAAGGACAAATCCATACCCTTATGAAAGTTGGTACGGTACGGAGCCGACTAATCGACTCTATTGTCCACCAATTTTAGGTAAGGATGTTTGCTCATGAATAATGCTTTTTGTACTATTCACTGTAGCAAAGGACAAGCCTTCCTCTTAAGGCTTGGCATGCACTCTAACCCTACCATATTGCATTAAATGAACATTTAATGCACTGGGTATAAATAGAAGTGTTTCTTTTCCATGCACAGCGCGCGCAACTCACTCTAACCCTAATTCTTACTTAAAGCATTTTCTAGCTTAAGTAAATGATCTTCTTTACAACATTTCTTCTCTGGTATTGCTAAGAATTCGTGTGTAACCAAAGATTGTTTAGATATGTTTTTATCACCTTATCTTTCCGCAAACAATCTTGTAAAATATGTATTGATCTTCTTTATCAATATATATATTTTAAATTTGAAAATATTGTGTTTGTATTCATCCCCCCGTTCTACAAACTATTTTACTATTTTGTAGACCCTCAAGGGACCAACAATTGGTTACATACATCATTTTAACCCAAAAAAATTACATTAACTGACTAGTAAAAGTTTGATGATTGATTTATTTAAAAAAAAATCCAGGGTGTTAATCATTCAAAATATGAAAGTTTAATGGTTTTTTATTTAAAATAATAGTTTAGGGACTTAATCATTTAAAATGAAAAAGTTTAATAATTTTTTAATTCAAAAAAATAGTTTAGGAGTTAAACCAATCAAAATGAAAAAGTTTGTTGGATTTTTTTATTTTTATTAAAAAAAATAGAAAATGTATTTTTGGATAATTCTATCAAATGCTTGTACAAGTAGTTGTACCATTTTATCATTTGTGTAATATTTCAAATACTCCCCCTCCCTTTTCTTTGTTCTCATCTTCTTTTTTCTGAGCTTTGCTCCTTTCTGATGGTTACTTCAATTTAGCTTTCTGCTTTCTCTCAAATACTGTCCTTGGTTTTGCTTCCTGTATTTTATAAAAAAGTTTAAAAAATAAAAAAAATTTCTATACCTTTTTTTTTCTTGGTTGGAAGGGCTGCCCCCTCTATGTCGAAAAAAAATATTTCAAATACTATACAAATGCTTCAAAAGTTTGTAAATTTTGTTATTTGTATAAAGTTTTTAAACATGTGAAATTGAATTTCGTTGATTTTCCAAGTTGTAAAGATTCAATTGAATGAATATCCAAGCCATGCTAATTGCTAATAAAACCGGCTTAATTGATTTGGTAAATATAATTGATGCAGTGTATAAAAATTAAACAAAAATCAAACACGTTTGCTTTAGTGAATAACTGAAAACAGTCTTTCTAAAGTTTGTTGATTCAACGAAATACCAAACTTTAAGTTCAAAACAATAGAATTCATCGTGAACTCAAATTTGGGATGGAGATGAAAGTCTCTGTATTTCAAGTCTGACCACCCCAAGTTATATAGATATAATTATATAAGATAAACAAATAAAAATGGCCCGGAAACGAAAAATTAAAAACATAGCAAAAACCACAAAAGTGTCTAGAGAAACATGTTCAAACGTTTTTTAGACCTCAAAAATTTTGTATTTGGGGCCTGCCAAGGGCATGCTCCTCCATTCAAGTTTCAAATCAATCGTATTATGGCTAGAAACAGGATCTTGTAGCAAAATTTATGCATGTTGAAGCGCAACACACCTCGTAACCTAGTCATAACCATGTCCTCGTATCAATAATGGGAAAATTGCATCAAAATGGAACGAACTTTCACCTAATTCCTGTTTTGGAGAACCAACTTTCAAAATCGTTATTTTGGGGAACCAACTTGCACATGATTCATATTTTGGTGAAAAACCAACTTTCAAAATCGTCATTTTAGGGAACCAACTTGCACCTGATTCTTATTTTGGGGAACCAACTTGCAAAATAATTATAGAAAAATAACTAAAATTCTTTTTTTTCCAAAAGTTAATGCAATAAAATCTATTTTTCATTTCAAATCTCGTTTTTTTAATTCAGATATCAAATTGAACATTTATAAAAAAACCAATTAGCACAACAAAAATTATTTTTTACTAATGCAAAAAAAATCAATTTAATAGAAAAATATAATTGATGCAATTGGTTAGATATAAAAATTTTGAATGTGATATTTAATATTTTATTTTTTATTGCATCAATTATTATTTTTTCTATTAAATTGATTTTTTTTGCATTAGTAAAAAACAATTTTTATTCTGGTAATTTGGATTTTTTTTCAAAAATGTTCAATTTGATATTTAAATTAAAAAAAAAGAGATTTGAAATGAAAAATAAATTTTATCGCATTAATTTTTGGAAAAAAAGAATTTTAGTTATTTTTCTATAATTATTTTGCAAGTTGGTTCCCCAAAATATGAATCATGTGCAAGTTGGTTCCCCAAAATGACAATTTTGAAAGTTAGTTCCTCAAAATAAGAATCAAGTACAAGTTGGTTCCTCAAAATAACGATTTTAAAAGTTGATTCCACAAAATAAAAATTAAGTGAAAGTTTGTTCTATTTTGGTGCAATTTTCCCAGATTAACCATTCTAACTCTATTGGATTTCATTGAAATCTGTGAACAAACCACGCCTTTCCATTTCTTTAATGTGAAGTTTATTGATTAAAAAGCTTAAAAGTTGTATAATGTTTTTGAAAATGTATGTTGCATGAATTCAATACAAATAACACCATTGTTAATTAATTAAAAAAAACATAAGGTATAAAGTTATTATAGCGTAGAAGCATTTACTGATTTCCAACTACTTCCTACTATACGTAAATACGCTCTCTTCTCTATATAACTTTTCTGCAAAACCCTATTCCACTCTTACTCCATGCATCTGGCATCTGTCTTGAGAGCATAAGCACAGCTTAATATGGAAGGCGTAGAGAAGTCAGCTTTTAGATTTTGGTGGGTTTTGTGGGTGTTGGTGATTTGCATGTTGCGGAGTGGTGGTGGGTTAGTTGTAGGGCAAGAAGCGGGAGACGGTGGTGATGTGGTGGTTCCGGCGATGTTCGTATTCGGAGACTCGCTTATTGACAATGGCAACAACAATGACTTGACTTCGTTTGCAAAAGCCAATTATTTTCCTTATGGCATTGACTTCAATGGAGGTCCCACTGGTCGATTCTCCAATGGTTACACCATGGTTGATGAAATAGGTTCTTTTCCTAATTTTCTTAGTGTGTTTTGCATAAATACATCTACTTTTAATGTAAGATCACTTAACTTTAAAGCAAATTAAACGTGAATTGTTATTTAAACATTCACAGTAAAAAAGTGATCTCATGGATATTACGAAAACATGCTAGTCTCACGTGATTCCAAGTATATATATATATATATATATGGACATATATGATAACTCCATGTATACATATGAATGCAGCGGAATTGCTAGGGTTGCCACTAATACCAGCCTACTCCGAAGCATCAAATTCAGGAGATCAAATGCTTCATGGTGTCAATTTCGCTTCTGCTGCTTCTGGAATCCTGGATATAACTGGTCGAAATTTTGTAAGTTAGCAGATATCTTGAAGTCTATCGGACTGTATTCGGTTTACATATTTTCTCTTATGAATCTTAGTTGGAGTTTTGGTGATTTCTGGTATTAATTTTTGTGGTTATCACGTTCGTAGGTGGGTCGTATCCCATTTAATCAACAGATTGACAACTTTGAAAATTCATTGGATCGAATAACCGACAATTCAGGTGCAACCGATGTGGCTCAGATGCTCTCTCGAAGCATTTTCTTCGTAGGAATGGGTAGCAATGACTACCTAAACAACTACCTCATGCCAAATTACCCTACCCGCAACGAGTATAACGGTCAACAGTTTGCAGACCTCTTGTCCCATGAATACACTACTCAACTCACGGTATCAAAAAGCTCATCACCATATCTCTTAGAGAAATTAGTTCAAATGAACATTTCCCACAACCAGATCGGTTTTCTAACCATTTCTCTCCCGGGATGACCCAAATGTCACTACTTCCATGATATATTGCGGACCTAGCTAAAAGTTAAAAAAAGTTCAAATTCAATCAGTTTGAAGTAGTGACATCTGGGTCAACCAAAGCGAGAAATGGTTAGAAAACCAATTTGAACGAGGAAAATGGTCATTTAGCTCAAGGACTATATCTTATTCCCATTAGTTTCAAATCATACAAATGCTGATTTCATTAAACATATCGTGGGACGTACGTTTTGAATCAGAAACTTTACAATCTTGGAGCCCGGAAATTCGTTTTGGCTGGGATTGGAATGATGGGTTGTATTCCAAGCATACTAGCTCAAGGCACGACTGGGAAATGCTCCGAGGATGTGAACAAGCTTGTCTTACCATTCAATGCCAACATGAGGAACATGATCGACAATCTAAGCACCAATCTGCCTGGTTCTAAGTTTGTCTTCATTGACGTCCATAACATGTTCCAAGATATTCTTTCTAACGCTAGATCCTACGGTATATATAATATACAACATTCCACATTCGACATCATTTAGCTTCAAATCGATAAAATGTGTAAACCATTTTGGGATTTGTGATGCAGGATTTCGTGTGCTTAATAGGGGATGTTGCGGGATAGGTAGAAACAGAGGGCAGATAACGTGTTTACCGTTCCAAACCCCTTGTCCGAACAGGAACGAGTACCTGTTTTGGGACGCATTCCATCCAACGGAAGCAGTGAATGTACTGATGGGAAAGAAGGCTTTCAGTGGTACTCCTGATGTTGTTTATCCCATCAATATTCAACAACTAGCAAACATTTGATGATGTATGATACTTTGTGCATGTACCAAAGCTGCTACCATGAAATCTATGGCTATTTGCTGCTCTATCCAATTTTCTAGTAGAAAATGAAGGCCTACTTTTTCCTCCTCTCTCTAACTGAACACAGAAGTTTTTAGGGCAAAACCTGCAACCATCTCTTATAATTAATAATCAAATACATTTCTCTACTATTATTACAAACCAAAGTACAAATTACACAAAACCTAAACTAGTTACAGACTAAAATATAATGATATCTAAACTAGTGTACAAATGCAAACCCTAAAAAACAAGAGAGAAAAATGATGGGTGATCATACAATTCCATCAAAAGGGAAAAAATGATGTCTGATCTTTCAGCAAAGAATCAGCACAATATATATATATATATATATATGTAGAGGGATGTTATTCTACATCGTTTGTCATTCCTACACCCTATACAACACTCATCTCAACCATTCAATTTTTAATCAATTAATTGTTTTCTAATATAAAGTATTAATCTTAATTAATAAACTCTATTCATATTCCATAAATATTCAAATCATAATAAATGAACTTCAATCATTTCTATAAATATCTCAATTAATTGAGYTGCAAAGGTTGTACAAATGCACAAGGTTGTAAAAGAAATATACCCTATATATGTATATATATATACATATATATATGTATATATATATATACATATATATATATGTATATATATATACATATGAAAACCGCTCTCATTTGTGTAAACCGTGCAAACCACCTTCATCTGTCGATTTCATTGTTTAATCGTATGAAATTTTTTCATGAAATTGTTTAATCTTGTGAAATTGTTTTATATAATACTTTTTTTGATGAAGTTGTTTCATATATGGTTGTGAAATTGTTTCATATAATACTTAATGAAACTGTTTCATGTATTTCTCTAATATTAATGAAACTGTTTCATGTATTTCTCTAAAATTAAAATAATAAAAATGATAATATCTATGATTAACACCCTCCACAATAAAAATGATTAATCAACCT